CTGTAAAGCGTCTTATGGGCTTATCGCACCACGCCCCATTCAACGACAGGCGAAACGCCCTTTCGACTAACATACGACATCGAGGCCGTCATCCCCGTGAAATCAGGGAACCCTCCAGGCGGACAGAAATGCCCCTCGACGAAGAAATAAATGACGAGGCACTCAAGGACGAACTCGACCTGGTCGAGGAAATTCGATCGGGGGCAGCCCTGTGCGAGGCCACTCTAAAACAACGAGTGGCCCTGCGTCATAACGATAAGGTCATCAAATGAGAGTTCAAGATCGGCAGCCGGGTATTACGAAGAAACCAGAAAGACTCTCGCAAAGGGAAATTGGCTGCGAATTGGGAAGGGACCTATCGCGTCCACGGCGCCACAGGCACCGGGGCATATTACCTCGAGCAGCTAGACGGAGTACCATTACCACGACCCTGGAACGCTGCTAAACTAAAGCAATGCTATAGCTAAAGCCCTTAAACACTAAGGACTCTCGCCGTCGAACATCCCCATCTAGTCAACAGAGAGAAATGTCTCGACCACGTAGATAGGCCAAGGTACGGGCCCAATCTACACCCAAACGACATAACGCCGTTCAGCCAACGGGGCCGAACGACGATGCCCGACAGGGACACCTCAATCGAGCTCCACTGTCGAAGTACCCACATGGCAAAACACCCAGCTCGCAATGAGCAGTTCATGCCGCGAGCATACGACCTCGATCTGGGTCAGACGCTCGACACGCGGGCTCCACTCTGCACAACCGACGCATTTCGAAGTACGTCGGACCACCAAAGGGGTCGAAAGGATATCTCTACTCGAGGACATAACTTAGACAAATTTCGTCACAAAGTAACAATCAAGTACAAACTTAGATACGAGCAAAGTTAAAGTTAAATGAACATCCATTGAAAAGTTTACACACAAAACAAGTAAAAATGAACCGACCAAAAAGGCCGGCGATGTTCGGGGTTACAAGCCATGGCACAACGGCCAAAAGAAATAAGCACGGGCACGCAGGCCCCAAAAATTAACACGGGCACGCAGGCCCCAAAACAAATACCAATACGCGGGCATGCATGCCCGACCAAAAACTCCACGCTAAACGTTCCCATGACTACCAGCGTCCACCACAGGAGACTCAAGAGGAGGCACGACGTGACCGTCAATAATCTGAGACATGAACCCCACTCCCTCGGTATTCATGCCCGGATTCAGTATGGCGAGCTGGCTGGCCGCGGCCTCGAACCCATCTGCTAAAGCGACGACACAGTCTGTCTCAAGGAGATGGATGCGCGCGACCAAATTCGAACGGGTCCGCAAAGGGGCTGTCTCCTTCGACTCATCGTCAGCAGGAAGCATAGCAGCTTTCAGCTCCTCGACTTCCTTAGACAAACGTTCGTTGTCAGCCTCCAAGCGTTCCTTGTCCAATTGGAGGCAATCCTTCTCCTTAGTAACCTTCCTGGAGTTTTCCTTCTCCCTCGCCAGCAGATCGGCTTGTTCGCGAAACATTTCCTCGGACCGCTCGAGGGCCGCCTTTAACTTACGAGAACTGGCAGCGAGGGCAGCTTTCTCCGACTCCAACTCCCTGACACGGTCCGAGGAGTCCGACCCTTCCTCAGCAAGGAAAACGGCCATCTCGGCCATCTTCACCATCCCGACCATACTGGCGGCCAGGTGTTTCCTCCGGCTTTCTTTGTCGAGTCGTCTGATAGTCTCGGCCTCGTCGTGGCTCACCGACAGAGGAAACCCCTCGAAGAAATCTTTCTCTTTAAAACAGGGGGGGTAAGCCGAAGGCCCTCGTAGCTACGGACTCGTCGCCAACCTCCGACCTGTTATCAGCCTGACTTCTCTTTCTCGTAATCAGCTCGCTGGGCTGTTCAGCGTCAGGGGAGCCCGGGGACCCACTAGAGGCATCGCCCGAACTGGCCGGCGGGCCCATCCTCGTGGCTTGTGGAGCTCGCACCAACCTTTTGTTTACTTTCTTATCCTGAGTCAGTTTCAACAGCCTCTCCCGTCGTTCAGCCATGTCGCCTGCAAAGAAGAGAAAAACTCGGGTTAGTTGCAAGCAAGCAAAGACAACAAAAATGTAAAACAAAAATAAAAGCAAAAGCAAGAAACCTAGCAGATCTACGGCCTGCCCGTAAGATTGGCACTCGAAGAGCGCCTTTGTATCAATGGGACGGGCCTCGAATGTTGGGTACCCTTCCTCGTCAAGAATATCTTCCCCCTCCCTCGTGACCCACCGGGCAGGGAAGAAACTGTCGACATACTTGCAAAGGATAACATAGGCCTCTTCGTCCTCGACGCTCATGCTTCCCGCGGGCGTGTGATAGTACCCGGTACCATGGTCGTAATGGCCCGAGCACCAATGTATTGGGAACTTGGATATGCGCCCTACGGTCGGACGACCCTCAACATCCAGGAGGGGCTCCCCGTCCTCGTCGACTATCGCGGTTTCCGATTCGAACAAGGAATCCAAGGCAGTCTGGGTGACCGGCTGCAGAACGTACCACTTATCCTTGAAGCCCTGGACCGAATCCATATACATCCTGAACAGCCTCTTCGACTGTTTCAGGGATACCCAGCTATGCCTGCCTCCTCGAGACTGACGCTGCAGGTGAAAAACCCTGAAGAAAAGGGGAATCGTCGCCCTGATCCTCAAGAAATGGCATGTCAGCTTGAACGTCCGAAGGAAGGCGATCGAATTAGGGTGAAGCTGCGAAGGGGCCAAGTTCAGATGGCAGAACACCCCGGCTTAAAAATCGCTGAAAGGGAGCTTGAGACTGAGATCCCTGAACATGATCTCGTACATAGGAAACCCATACTCGGTAAACTCCGAGCAGATTCGCGCATCGATGGACGGCCTCATCACAACAAAATTCTTCTGGAAACCTGGCTGACTACCGCCATGCTCGACGACAGTATATACACACCGACTACGCCGAGGCAATCCCTCAGGGCTCGGCGCCCACCCAGTCCAACGAAGGGTCATCGATAGTATCAACTAAAGTCACGTTCTCTTCGGTACTTGGGTCCTCGACCTCATTTTACCTCGAAGATTCCGGTTCGTCGGCCATTTACCTACAAAGCACAGGAAATCGGTGAAATTCGAGAGCAAATCTGCGTGCTCGCCACAGAGACAGGAAGTAATACACAATAAGCCGAACACGGACACCCCAGCTCCGACCAGGCATCGGGGACAACAAGGGAATAGCACGAACGCCCCAGGCGAAAAACATGAATGACTCGAGCAAGGTCCTGACTTCGCTTGCCCGACACTAGGATACTACGAGGGGCTACCCTACATACTTTCTAAGGGGTCAACATCCCGGCCAGCTCATGGGTGCGCAGACCAAAACTATGAATGTCACGGGCAGTATCATGAGTCATACGCCTAAAACTATCAATGTCGCAGGTAGTATCATGAGTCATATGCTTAAAACTATGAAGGTCACGGGCAGCATCGCAAGTTATGTACCTAAAACTATGAGTTTACCGGGCACAACCATGAATCTACCGGGCACTACTCCTAGATATGGGTTTCTAACATCCAAATAACGTCAAAACTACCTACAACGAAGAAAAACAGGAGAAATGAACACTTACTTGGAAGAAAGAGGAACGTACAGCAGCGATAGCAGTAACCAGCGGAGGATGATACAGTGATCTCACGGCGTTGCAGTAAACGACGGCGGCGGAAGCAGAGGAAGAAGGAGAAGCGCGAAGAAGAAAAACAAATTATGGGCCCAAGGATCCTATTTATAGGGATGACGTGGAATACAAAACATCGCGCCGGGGAGCCGCGAACTTCCATGTCCTCGACACCTATTCCCCTAGGCAATGATGACCCTATTGTTGCTAGGGTGGCGTTACGATTCCCAAGGACTACCTCATGTATCTAACAAACACAGCCCGCACGGAATCCCTCGAGCACGCGTCGATGATGATTGCGCTGCTTATCCGAGGAACGCAGCCCGCGAGAAACTCCTCGAGCGCGCGTCAGAAAGGCAAACCCGGGTCCGCGCATCAGATCCCCGTGGTAAAGGCGAGCTGAAATCAAGTCATAACTCCTGCCCCAGGAGCAACGACTTGGGGGGCTCTTGTTCTGGACTGGGCTCACCATGGCACAAAGCGTAAATAAGGGCCCAATCCAAGCAAACTCCTCGGGGAATGCTCACTAGCGGGCCACCACCGACGTGCCCGACAACAGACTGTGGCCGCTACGCCAGCCATTGTCCGCGACACGCAGTGTCCCCGACCAAGGGAACTCCAGCTCGAGTCCTGCTCGAGCACCCTCCTCGTAGGGCAGATTCTGTCCATTCTGACCGTTATCGAATCCTCTAAACTCTGGGAAGACCGCGTCTTCGTCCCTCCTTATTCTTCGCAGAACACCACCAGAAAGGGGACCACGTGCGGGGCCCCACTACGCACGTAGAACCTGGCAGTTCCTTTATTGGGCCAGTTCTGCTCAGCCCAATGAGGGGACCTTGGCCCAACGCTGTGGACTATAAATACCCTTTGTTCCTAGAGGGTCAGATATTCATCTATTACGCACCTATACATTTTTTACTTGCTCATTCCGCCACTCATTTCAACATCGGAGTGTCTTGCAGGTACCCCCATCTCACTCAAGTTCAGCTCGAGCCAGTCGTGACGGTCCAAGTCTGATCCGGTAAGATCAAATATTATGTGTTATAATATGAAAATTATGGATAAATAAATATAACATACTAAAGTATTGATATAATATAGTAATTTCATCTAAAATTTATAATTAAAAATTGTTTTACCTTTTAAAATATAATTAAATATGTGCAATGGATATTAAAAATATATTTAATTAGGTTGTATCTCAATAGATATTACATATGCATCTCAATAGTGTGTGGAACAAATATATATTCCGTTTTAGTCTTTGAGTGGTAAGTATTGTAAAACAGGATTCCAACAAAGGATAATCTTCATAAGAGAGGAATCTTAAATGGGAGATCGATCAATTGAATGGAAGGTTGTAATTCAATAGAATCTCTGACATATCTATTCTTTGAATGCAGTGTGGTTTTTCAGGTTTGGTCTGTAATTTTCAATTGGTTAGGAGTCCTCACTGTCTCACATCGCAACGTTGTTGTGTTTTATGATATATTGTCTAGAAATTCACTTTTTTATTTTATTTCACCAAAGAAAATACCCACTCCTCTCTCTACTTGTATGTTATTACTAGTACTAGCAAAACTAGAAACAACCATGCAAAATAACAAAAAGCCTATTGATACAATAATATCCTAAGAATTCCATCAACGTTTTTGCACATCCAAACTAGTTCCAGAAATTGCCGTGGCAAGTGCTGTCCTAAAATTATGATCTCTTGTCAAAGAAGTTGTCAGTTGCTGAACTAACAACTGGTGTATAGACGACCTTTGACCACCATAGTCAACTCCTGATTTTCTCGGCATGACCAAGTCATAAGCTAGTGAAGAAGGAACAAAATCATGCGTAGAGGTTTCACTTTGGTTTGACGATGATGTTTGTCCTTGGTGATGTGCATGGTTGTGCTTTCCTTCGTATGTTGTCACTAATACTGTTGGGTCCTCTACACTTCTCTGCACCTTCTTCTTCACAGGACAGCAAGGAGCAAAAGAGCACTTGAAGTAAGCCCTAGGAGATGGATTATCTCTAGTAACTTTCTGGCCATATTTTCTCCACTGATATCCATCTCTCACATACTATAACAACGAAGAATGATAAAAAATTAATCTTAATATATAGTTTCAAGAATTGATTAAATCAAGTTATTATATGATATATTTGTAGAAGAACTTACTAAGCTGGTGTTGGATGCATCTGTGCGTACAAGAACCTTAGAAATTTTCGGAGAAGCGTTATCTATGAATGTTTCTTCCTTAGTAGTGGTGCAACTTTCCGTGCACTCAATCTTTCTCTTCCTCGATGGCGTGGTCACTGATTCTTGACTCTTGAACTCGTTTAAATGCTTTTGCAAAGCAATATAATTGTCGCACATGAGGTTTAACCTCTCAGTTAACTTCTTATTTTCATTACTTAAACGCTCCAACTCTTCAACCAAAACCTTAGCAACCTGAATATCTCAATCATAAGTTAACTCTTCAATATGTTACAAAAAATAACTTAAATTATGTGCTTATAGTATAGTGTATACTAACCATAGCAACGTCTGTTTCTTGAGAAGGGACAAGGTTGAGGTTAAGAGAAGTATCAACGCACGTTGGTTCCATTTGAAGGATAAGGTTTGAGGTGCACAAATTAAATTTATGGTGAATGGTTTGAATTAGATTTTGTGATATAAAAACTATATACGAGAAGATGGAATTAGAATTATAATATATAAGGATTGCAAGTGAGAAATGGGAAAGGAGGAGGAAAGTGAGAAACAAGTCTCGTGCAATTAATTTCGTTCTTTTGCTATAGACGCGCATTTAACAATTAACAGACACACACAAACAAGATAATTCTTTTATTTTTGTTTTTTTCCTTTAAATTATACGTGTGGTATGTACAATAAATCTTCTATTTTTATCAATTTTAATAAAATAAATATTTTTTATTAATATAAAAAAATTTAATAAAGAATTATATATATTTATTTTAAATTTCTAGAAGTTTATATTAGACACATTTTTAGTATACTAGAACTTACTATTTTTTGTAAATAGTTAATTATATATATGATAAACGATATTGAGTTGTTAGTCTCATCCTTAGTCAAGGAGAAAAACGCAAGTTGATGAATGATTTCCCATTGACGGCAACATTTTTTTTTCCTGTGATTGAACCATTGACGACATCACGTTGACTTCGCAAAATGTTTTTGATAATTTTACTTATTAATTTTAAAAAATAAATAAATGTAAAATTAATAATTTTTGTATATTATTAAACTTATAGTATTTATATCACTTTGATAAATTACTTATTTTTAATTATATTGTTTTAAAATGAATAATATTAAAGAAATTATGGCCGATAAACGGACAAATTCAAACTCGAATGAACATGTTCAGTTTAAAGCTAATGTTTTGAAGAAAGGGAAAATATGTTATTATGGAAAGATTTGTGGTTGTTAAAGGTTCGCTTTAGATTTATTGAATTGTGAATAGAAAAATGTATTTTAATGTAAAGTTTCATTAAGTGAAATTGGAACTCACCATTTATTTTTATTTTATCTAATTCGATAAAATGCAATTGCATTTAAAGGTCAGGATATGCCCTTAGACACTCGCCAATGAAAAATCTATGGGAGAGGATTTGTTCCATTGAGATGAATAGGTTGTGATGAGGTTTTGCTACTAGGAATATTTGGGATAATTCAGCTCAAGTAGATGAAAATTCGAATGCGGTGAAGAGTGTATGAAATTGTTTCTAGAGGATATGTGTTTTATTGTGTCGTATCTAAGTGTTCAAGTGTCGTCTACAAGCCGCCATTAGCGCCTCTACACCCACACTCTCGAATCCGGTTTCGGTGTCGCCGATGGCGACACCTGCGAGAAGTTGTATGGAAGAGACAGGTGACATAATGCTTGGGACCACCATTCTTGTCCATGTGACACTTTATCATCTTTTGTCCTTTTGTTGAATTAATGAATTAATGTTCTTAACTCTTTATAAAGGCTTTTAATGTGAGTAAATATTTCTATATGGAACTATTTCTCATGTATTTATTAGTATTTACTCGCTTTCACTTTTCTTGTCATTTTAGAACATGTCCATTGTAATTAAAACTCATAAATTACAACAATCCTCATTTGTTCTAATAATGACAAGACAAATTCCAGAAAAAAAAAAGAGAGAAAAAGAATGTTATTACATTTAAGTATCTTACGATTTGAACTTAACCTTAGAAAGACTAATGCAAAGTTTAATCGGAATGTTAGGTAGTTATGCTTTCAACTGTTATCCCTTGTGATTATACCGACATTACCTTACAGACATTCTTTAATAGTTCTTCACCTACATTCTCGCCTAGCACTATTTATGGTCATGTACTTTTTTTGTTTTTATGAATTTTTAATGAGAGAAACTTCAACTCTCCCTTTGAGAAGACACCATCTCGAAATTCATATAGGTGAAGTTAAATTTGTATCTATTTCTTAGATACATATCCTCGACATATAACTTCATTAAGAGTTTGAAAAACTCAATCCTCAATATGTAATAGTGAACATTGTCACAGAATGTTGCACAAACATCCAAATCAATGACTTGTTGTTACCCATTAAATCTATAGGTTAAGATTTGTTAACTTCATATGGGTTGCTATCATTGTCGGAACCCTTATTCAAGGAGTTTCAATCACATGCCTTTCGACGTAGTCTTTACTAAGTCTATGGTCAGCGGCTTAGTAAACAGACCATCTAAGTTATAGCTTGTTTGTATATAATATCAGTGAAATGATTTCATCCTTAATTAACTTTCTCACGAGAGAGTGTCTAAGACCTATGTGTCTAGACTTTCCATTGTATACTTAACTAAATGTTGTAGCTAGGATGGCTTGACTGTCACAATGTATCAACACTTTTGAAACATTATCTTTAGCTAATGGAACCTCTTCCAAGAAATTGCACCTCCAGTTTGAAGGTTGAGAAAAAACACAAGAAAGGGGGGAGCGTTTGAATTGGGTTTTCAAAAACTTTTTCCTTTAGAAATGTTTCTCGCAAACAATCACGATAGACAAGCTAAGAAAGAAAAGAAACACAATTGATTTATACAAGTTCACCTTAAGCAATGCTACTCTTGTCCATCGCCAAGGTGATTTTGCCTTAAAAAAAGACTTAATCCACTAATCTTGAAAGATTACAAACAACATCTAAGAGTTTAGAAAAAAACCTTAGTCCTCTCAACTATACAGACTTTCACCTAGTCTCTTGAGGAAATAAATCTCAATAAAGGCCAAGGTTTTTTGTCTTTAAAAGATAACTGAAAATCTTAGTTATGACCTTCCAATGTTCATCATTGGATTGCTAGTAAATCTACTCATCTTGTTAATTGCAAATTCTATGCCAGGTTTGGTGCATTGCATTAAGTATATTAGACATCCAATTGCACTTGCATATTCTAATTGGGCCATATTTTTCCATTGTGTTTTTGAAGTTTGAGGAGTGCTTACTTCTTTAAAGTTTAGGTGTTTGAACTTATCCAACAATTTCTCAATATAATGTGTTTGAATAAGTTCATAACCCCTACTATTTATTTTTACTTTGATCCTTAATATAGTGTCAACTAACCCAAAATCTTTCATCTTGAACGTGAAAGTTAGAAATCTATTTGTTTCTAAAATTCCATTCATTTCATTGCTAATGATTAAAATATCATCAACATATAGACACAAAAATATTACAATATTTGCGTGCACCTTTGTGTACAAGAATTTGTAATAAACCCATATGAAAGTATGACAGAGGCAAAATTTTGATGTCATTATTTTGGTGTATGTTTCAAACTGTATAAGAATTTAACAAGTTTTCATACCTTTTGTTCATTTTCAAGAAGCACGTAGCCTTCTAGTTGCTCCATGTAGATTTCTTCATCGAGATCTCCATTTAGGAATATTGTTTTAACATCTATTTGATGAACAATAAGGTTATTCAAGGAAGCTAGTGCAAAGAATATTCTAATTGTCTTAGTTCTTACTATTGGTGCATATGTGTCAAAGTAATCGACATCTTTCTTTTGTCTAAACCCTCTTGATACTAATCTAGACTTATAGGTGTTTAATATACCATTACTATGATACTTTTTCAAAACACCCATTTGCACCCAGTGGGTCTTGATCCCTTGGGAAGGTCGACAAGTTCCCAATTATGGTTTGGCTAATTGAATCCGTTTCGTCTTGGACAACATCCTTCAAAAAGGAAGCGTCCCTTGAAGCTAGTACTTCTTTATAGGTTTTAGGACCATCCTCCACTTGAAGAATAATAGTAATCTTATGAACATCATTCTTGCAATTTCCTTCAACTAGATAAAAGGAAATAAGTAGATAATCGATTTCATTTGGTCCTAGATCTTTAGCTTTTTGGGCCCTTTTGCTTATCCTAGGCTCGGGTTGTGTTTCAATAGTCTGCGAAGAATCTTTCTCATGAGATTCTTCATTCGTGGGATTCTAAGGTTTCTTATCCTTTGTGATAAGATTTTCAAGGAATTTCACATCTCAGGATTCAACAATTACATTACACTCTAAATTTAAAAGTCTATATGCTTTGTTGTTGGGCGCATATCCTAAGAAAGCACGTATGATCCCTCAAGGACCTAATTTAGTTCTTTCGGAATCCATATTCTTGTAATATGCTACACACCCCCACACTCTAAAATAACCAAAATTTGGTGATCTTACTTTCCATATCTCTTATGGAGAAATACCGATTATTTTCAAAGAAATCTTGTTCATCATGTGACATGCGGATAATAATGTTTCACCCCACAAATTAAATGGAAATTCAAAATGAATTACCATAGCATTTATCTTTTCTTGATATGTTCAATTCTTTCTCTTGGCCAGACCATTTTATTAGGGTGTACGAGACACGGAAAATTCATGTATAATGCCATATTCTTCACAATATTGATCAAATTTTGCAGAAAAGTACTCACCACCTCCATCACTTCTAAGTACCTTTATACTTTTACTTAATTGATTTTCTACTTCCGCTTTATAAGCCTTAAAGGCATTAAAAGCACCATCTTTATGCTTTAAAAGGTATACATGTGTAAACTTAGAACAATTATCGATAAATGTTATGAAATAATAGTTTCCTCCACGGGTTAGCATGCCATTAAATTCACACAAATCAGAATACACAAGATCAAGCACGTTTGGTTTTCTTTCAACACTTTTGAAAGTTTTCTTGATCATTTTTTATTTAACACATTTTTCGCATTTTTCAAAATCATGAATGTTACATGAGATCAATCCATATTTAATTAGAATACTCATAGTACTAATATCAATATGTCTTAATCTAGAGTGCCATAAAAAATAGATCCAAGCATATAAGCAGAATTAGAAAGTTTATTAATAATATTGTCGATAGTACAAAGTTTGATCATTCCTTTAGCGGAATATCATTTTTCTACAAATACACCATTACGGGTCAATATTAGTTTTCCTAATTCATATACAGATTTAATACTAGGTTTTCCCAACAAGTCCCCACTAACAAGGTTCATATTCATGTCGGGGATATGAAGTACATTAGCAAGAGTGACTTTCTTTTCGGAAGTG